AAGGTCATAAAGATTTTCTTCTAGAAATTTCATAGTTTTAGGTTTTACATTAAAGTTTATAATCCATTTTGAGTTAGTTTTTGTATACAGTGCAAGCTTTGGCTGAGTGCTTTGTTGGGGGGGCTGGGGGCGGGAAACAGACATTCAATTGTTCTAGTACCATTTTTAAAAAAGACTATCCTATCTCTTCCGCATTGCCTTTGCACTTTTGTCAAAAATCAGTTGTCTATGTAAGTGGGGGTCAAATTTGGTCCTCCGTATCCTGTTCCATTGATCTACTTAACTATTCCACACCAATACCACACTGTAACAAGCACTGCAGCTTTATAATCAGTCTTGAAATCAAATAGTGTTGATCTTCCACTTTGTTCTACTTTTTCAAGGCTACTCTGGCTATCCTAGGTCATTTGCATTTCCATAAAAAATTTTTAGAATCAGCTTATCAATTTCTACCAAAAAGCTTATTGAGACTGAGTTGAATCTACAGATAAACTTGGGGAGAAGTGAAATCTTAACACTGTTGAGTCTTATAACTCATGAAACAAGGTATATCTCTCCATTTTAATTAGGTTGTCTTTAATTCATCTCAACATTTTGTAGTTTTTAGCAGATAGGTCTTGCACACTTTTGCCAGATTTATTCGTATTTCTTTTTTCATGCTATTGTAAATTGGTATTATTTTAAAATTTTAATTTATGATCCTTTGTTGCTTATATATAGAAATGCAATTGATTTTTATATATTGACCTTATATCTAGCAACCTTTCTAAACTCACTCATGAGTTCTAGGAGCTTTTTTGGTAGATTTCTATGTATTTTTCCCATAGATGACTATGTCGTCTACAAATCATTTTTTTTCCTACTCCAGTATGGATATCTATTATTTCTTTTTCTTGCTATTGTTCTGGCTAGAACCTTCAGTATAATGTTGAATAGAAGTGGTAAGAATGGACATCCTCATCTTTTTTATTTTTTCTAACTTTTTTTATTGAGTTATAGTCATTTTACAATGTTGTGTCAAATTTCAGTGTAGAGCACAATTTTTCAGTTATACGTGAATATACATATATTCATTGTCACATTTTTTTTTCACTGTGAGCTACCACAAGATCTTGTATATATTTCCCTGTGCTATAAAGTATAATCTTGTTTATCTATTCTACATTTTGAAATCCCAGTCTGTCCCTTCCCACCCTCTGCCCCCTTGGCAACCACAAGTTCGTATTCTATGTCTATTAGTCTGTTTCTGTTTTATTTGTTTGTTTGTTTGTTTGTTTTTTAGATTCTGAATATGAATGATCTCATATGGTATTTTTCTTTCTCTTTCTGGCTTAATTCACTTAGAATGACATTCTCCAGGAACATCCATGTTGCTGCAAATGGTGTTATGTTGTCAGTTTTTATGGCTGGATAGTATTCCATTGTATAAATACACCACATCTTCATTATCCAGCCATCTGTTGATGGACATTTAGGCTGTTTCCATGTCTTGGCTATTGTAAATAGTGCTGCTATGAACATTGGGGTGCAGGTGTCTTTTTGAAGTAGGGTTCCTTCTGGATATATGCCCAGGAGCGGGATTCCTGGGTCATATGGTAAGTCTATTCCTAGTCTTTTGAGGAATCTCCATACTGTTTTCCACAGTGGCTGCACCAAACTGCATTCCCACCAGCAGTGTAGGAGGGTTCCCTTTTCTCCACAGCCTCTCTCATCTTCTGACTGGAGAGTTTAATACATTTACAGTTAAGGTAATTACTGATTACTGATAAGGAATTCTGTAAGTTTTTGTTTCTTTTGTATTTTAATATTCTATAATTAAATTTTAAAAAAGGTTTAGGATTATTATTTCCTCTTAAAGAACTGACTGGCCTTTATGATTATGAAATGACCCTCTTTATCCCTAGAAATAGTCTTACCTCCGAAACCTCCTTTCTCTGATACTAGAACTATTTCAGCTTTCTTTTAATTAATGTTAGCGTGGGATAGTTTTCTATTCATTTACTTTGAACCTAATTGTGCCTTTATATTTGGTGCGTTTCTTAAAGGCATCAAATAATTGTAGTTGGGTCTTGCTTATTTTATCCAGTCTGACAATGCATGCCTTTTAGCAGAAGCTGTTAGACTATTTATATTTAATGTGATTTAATGTGATGATTAGGTTTAAGTGTATCATTTTTAAATTTGCCTTCTATTTGTCCCATCTATTCTTTGGTCCCCCTTTCCTCTTTTTCTTCCTTCTTGGATTAACTGAATATATTCCGATTCCATTTTATCTCCTTTGTTTGCTTATTAGTTATAACTGTTTACTTTTTTATTTTAGTGGTTACATCAGGGTTCATAATAGTTATCTTTAATTTATCACAGTCTATCTCTAAGTGATATTATACCACTTCATGCACAGTATAAAAACCTTACAATAGTATTCTTCTGTTTTTCCCCTTCCAGTCTTTTTGACACTGTTGTCATAGATTTTACTTCCACATGTGTTATAAACTCCACAATATACTATTATTATTTTTGTTTAAATGGTGAATTATCTTTTAAAGATATTTAAATAATAAGAAAACCTTATATAGCTGGCCATGTGGTTATCAATGCTCTGTATTCCTTTGTGTAGATCCATTTTCCCGTTTGGTATCATTTTCTTTCTTCCTAAAGGACATTAGCATTTCTGGTGGTACCGGTTTGTTGGTGGTGAAATCGTTCAGCTTTTGTAGATCTGAAAATGCCTTTATTTTGCTTTTGTTTTTGAAAGATATTTTTGTCAGATATAGACAGTTTTTTCTTTCAGAACTTTAAAGATTTGTTCCACTGAAATTCCCTTTTGCTAAATTCAGAAACAGGACATCTGTTATCTTCCTTATTTGTTCTTCTGGAGCTGCCTTTAAGATTTTCTCTTTATTCTTGGTTTTGAGAAATCTGATTATCATATACCTTGGTGTTGTTTTCTTCATGTTTCTTGTGCTTGTGGTTTGTCGGGCTACTTGATAAAATTTTCATCAAATTTGAAAACATTTTTCAGTGATTATTTCTTCAAATATTCTTTCCTGTCCTTCCTTTGGTTTTTTTTTTTCCCCTCTAGGAGTTCACTTACAAGTATATTAAGATGATTTAAGTTATCCCACATCTCACTGATATTCTTTTCTTTCTTTTTAAAAATCCCTTTTTTCTGTTTCATCTCGGATTGTTTCAGTTTGGATAGACTGCTGTATCTTCAAGTTCACTCATCTTTTCTTCTGCAGTGTCTAATCTGTTGTTAATCCTATTCAGTATCTCATTTCACATACCGTAGTGTTCATCTCTAGATATTTGATTTGAGTCCTTTTTTATGTTTTCCATGTCTCTGCTTAATTTCTGAACATAACTAGACTAACTTTCAACGTCTCTGTCTGCTAATTCTAACATCTATATCAGTTCTGGTCCAGTTTTCCTCTCATTACAGATATGAGTACAGACTTTAACTTTTTTTTTCCCCACAGAGAACCAACTTGTCTTCCAAAAATGTTTTATCATTCACCCCATCACTACCAGTACATGAGAGTGCTCCCCTCCCTGTCCCTCCAGCACTGAATGTCGACAGTCTTTCATCTTTGCCAGCTTCATGGGCTAATGTGACTTCCCGCCACAACAGCTGTCTATTGAGCATCAATCATAAGCCCAGTGACAGATGATGGCAACTCTGTGGTGCTCAAGCAGCCACAGCAGCTGCCCTCGTGGTGCTTATCACCCTGTGGTGTTTATGTTTTACTTGCATTTGCATTGATTATTAGTGATGCTGAGCAGCTTTTCTCAAGTTTATTGTCTGTTTAGATTCTTCTTTGGTAAACTGCCTAATAATGTTCACTGACCAGTTTTAACTGGGTTGTTTGGATTTTTTTATTCCTATGTAAGAGCTATTTATTTACAAAGAATAAACTCCTGTTTTCACTTTTTGAATAATAAAAAATGTTTTGTAAACAAAGATATTTCTATAAAATAAATTGACATTTGTATGTAATTTCTTTGAAGAGATAATTTACATGTTATTCAAATGCTTTTTTCTATATTAGAAGTAAATAAAAATTGATTGTGGTGTAAAAAAACCATGCCCTTAAAGAGCATTTTTGATGAATACAAAAACACAAAATACATATATGAATACCTAAAATATACATAAATACATAATGAATAAAAATTTCATAGTTATCTGACACCAACAAATAAATGACTTGCATTTTCTAGAAATAATTATGCAGATTCCAAATGCCATTTTACTCTCTTAATAATGAAGTTGAAAGTCAAGGAGATGAAACATTCCCAGATTAAATGTTTTCAGCTGATTAAATATTTCTGGCAAAGCCATGCCATCTGTATTAGAAATGCCCTATATACGAGGCTGTTAATTTGTAATTGTCTAAGATCTATTCTTTCAGAGGAGAAAATGTCAAAATCTCCATTATAGAACATTTGCTTACCCACTCACTGAAGAGTAGCAGGAGTTCTCAGAGGCACAGGCTACCTACTCACCTGAATGTGTGGGTAAATGCTTCCTGGAGCCCCAGGAAGGATGTCCTGATGGAGACACAGGTTCTAAAATGTGTCCAGTGTTTTTTTTTAAGCATTCACGGACTATGTGAAGTGAACAGAGGGGTAGTGGACCCTGAGATGCATTTCAGCTCTATGGCCAGGGATATGACTTGTACACATGTAATGTGGCTAAGGGTGTTAGTTCTCTGATTATGATGAAGGAAATGTGAATGAATAAACTGAGCAGTTTTATTTTATTTTATTTTTTACTTTTTTTTGTGGGGGGAGATTAGGTTTATTTATTTACTTATTTTTGGAGGAGATACTGGGGATTGAACCCAGGACCTTGTGCATGCTAGCCATGCACTCTACCAGTTAAGCTATATCCTCCCCACCTGAGCAGTTTTAATAATGTGGATAATGAAGGCAGTCAACAAAGCCCCATGAGGTCCAACCAACTAGTTCTTCCAGTGGACCCGGGCCTTCTGACTGACCTGTTTGGTGAAGGTGGTCCCTGGCAACCTCGAACAAGCGGAGGTGCATGTTGGTGATGGGGTTGAAGGAGCCACAGGCCAGGAGCACCACAGGGATCCGGCTCTTCATCTCGTCAGGCACATCGACACTTGCTGCAGCAGCCACCCTGCCTTCAAGGGGACAAACATTCATGTCAGGGAGGTGGTGCTAAGACAAGTGTCCAGATCAGTGTCTCTAAAACACATATAGGCCATTACTTCTCACTCGTAAGATGACTAAGGAGGCAAGAATAACAGCCTTTACGGGGGGCTCACCACAGGCCAGGGACTGTGCCAAGCACTACGCCAAGGGAAGCCCCCATCTCACCAAATCCTTTCAGCTCAATCCTGAGCGGTCACTTACACAGCTCAGGGGCTTCAGAAGCTGCAAGGCCAGGACTGGAACCCAGGCGGCCAGACCCAGAGACCATGCTCTGCTCATAACCTCGACACCCTCCCTGTGCCCTGATGGGCCACCTTGGGTCCAAAAAGAGTTATATGAGACCTCCAAAATGTGATCGCTGATAGCCAAGTAGAAGTCACAAGGTTCCAGAATGGACTGGTACTTTTTAAAAACTGATTTTAAAATAATTTCAGACTTACAAATAAGTTGCAAAATTTGTACAAAGAATTCCTATATACCTTTACCCAGATTCCCTAAATGTTAACCTTTTACCACATTTGCTACATCATTCATTCTCTCTTTCCATACACACGCACACATGCAGATCTGTATGCATCTGTAAGAATTTTCTTCTGAAATGTGTGAGAATAGGTTGTAGACATAATATCTCTTCACCTCTAAATACTTCAGTGTGTATTTTCTAAGAGCAAAGACATTTCCTTATATAACTGCAGAGCAATGATTAAAATCAGAAAATCAACATTGCTAGACGACTATTATCTAATCTACACATCTTTTTGTCCTTTATCAGAGACTAAGCATCTTGGGAGGGCCCAGCACATCCTCTTGTCTCCTCCCTCTAGCTTTCAGCACCAGGGTGAGGTGAGTATAAAGCTAGAAAACAGCCTGGGCTCCAGGGCAGGCCAGCCCCCTTCCCCTGAGGCGCTGCCTCCTGGAGTGATGGGGAAGAGCTCTGGTGGAGTCAGGCCTTGCTTTGACTCCTAGTTCTGTCTCTTACTGGCTGTGTGGCCTAGGGCAAGTCACAGTCCCTCTCTGAGCCTCAGTTTCCTCATGTGCAAGATGGGGATAATATGACTTACACTTACAGGAGTGTTGTGAGGATAAGTGAGCTGTGTGTGGAAAGTGTCTGGTGCACAAGGAGCATCTAATAAATAATCACTGTGGCTGTGGTGATGATGACGCAATGAGGGAAAAGCTGCTGCTACTGATGATCAGAATAAGGAAGGTAGAGGGAAAAGATGGTGGCAGTGTGCTTGTGATCAGCAGCTTCAAAAAAGGCTCCCGGTGATTCTCACCTCCTAGTAGTCCCCTGTAGACCCCTCCCATTGAGCAGGGGGTGGACCTAGTAACTTGCCTCTATGATTTAAGCACAGAGCCTGGCCCAGAGGAGGGCTGGGTGGAGACTGAACAGGGCACTGGCCAGCTGGGGAGTGGACCTGTATCCTGGTACTGGCAAGCCCTAAGCACCTCCTCAGGTGCATAGAGACTGTCCTGGGCATGTTCTGAGAAACAGCGTGAAGATAAAGAACTCTCAACCCAGGTGGGCTGTGGTTTCTTCCCGCCTACTCTGAGGCAGCATGGAGAAGAAAGCAGCCTGCTGGCGCTGGCTTCTTCTCGGGGAGGGGGATGCTTTAGAGAGATAGTATGTGCAGGGTGTGCGGAGCTACTCGCCAGGGCAGCCTTGTGATGAGTGTATCCAAAGAGGTGGCTGTTTTCCACCACTGTTAGGAAGCCTTTCGAAATTCTATTTCATTTTGGCAAAATATCATTTTTTTAGAGCCCTTAAAACATGTAACGGTAGCATCTCAGGTAACCTGGGGTTTTGATCTATTTTCCCCAAAGTTCCCAGAAATTGTAAATCAGAACATTAGTTTGTATGGGGGCATCAGTGGCGGTGCAGTGTGACGTTGGGAAGGAGAATAAACAACATTTAGGAAGTGTCTGTCTGTCTTCTTCCTCGCGTGGGCACACCGAGCCATGCTGCTCTACAGTGACTTACCCTACCTCAGCCGCATCGCAGGCGGGAGGCCGCCGTGGGTGCACGTTCCCAGGCTCAGAACCGAGGTCAGTGCAACCGCATCATCTGTACACTCCAACTCGCTTCAGTTAAACACCCTCCCAAGCCCAAACTCAGAGAAACATAATAGGGCTGAAATGGACTCCCTCCAGGTGTCCACCAGGAGGATAAACCAGGTTCTGATCCGAGCGCAAGTCTCATCAGACACAAGGCCAGATGCATGCCATACAAGTGAGTCATCTGCCCTGTCATGCCATGGCATCCAGCGAGACGAAGCAAGCACGGGGGACTCCTGCTCCTGGGAAAGGCTCCTCATCAGTAAGCACTGAACGGGGTCCGCAGAGTGAGCTGCCGCTGCCGCTGAAGGATTTAACACATTGAGAAGGTGGCATACGGCGTTCTTGGACTTTATCATTAAACTGGAGTCAGGGCCAACAGAGTCCACCTCTAACCTGTCCCCTCTCCAGTTTACTGCCTCCGGCTTACAGCCGTCCCAACGGCATTTCATTCGGCTTCTCAAACGCAACATGCAGCTTCCTTTCTCTTGGCTTTTGTAAACGCTTTCCCACCACGTGAAATGCCCTCCTCACTCCTGCCTTGGGGTTGCTACCCAAGCCTCGCCTTACTCCCCGCCAACCCCGACCCCGTGCTAACTGTACTGTTACACGTTGTATCATCCTCTTCCTTCCTCCACCGCAGACCTGTCATTGCTTTGTTTCCACATTGCTCTTCCCCGAGCAGAGGGGGAACTCCTCCTGGGGGTTTCTCATTCCTCTAGGCCCCTCCACTCCTGCAGTGTGCCAGGTGCAGGTGATTAGAAATGCGTGTAGCATGAATGAGAGAAGGAGTGAATGTCTCCAACCAAGCATCCTCCTTCTCGGACGGTGACATCCTCTCTTTGGTTCTATCCTAGGAAGTCCATGGACTGGGCCTTCCAGGGATATAAGCTGACCCTTCCAACTTCTGAGAGTCACGTAAGGCCCTTCCCCGAGTCCCCGTTCCATCCAATTCAGACCGAAATCAAACAAAGTATTCCCGCACTGGTGTGCCACCTTAGATGCCAGGATCCCATCAACATGGGTACACCACGGCCTCCTGCACACTGACACCAAGGTCATTCCTCCACCCCGGAGAACTAGGGGTCATCAGCTGCAGCTTTGCTGGGCAAAGGGGCTTTGCAGATGTGATTAAGAGTCAGAAATGGGGAGGGTATCCTGGATGATCCAGGCGGGCCTGATTTTAACATGATTAGGGTCCTACTAAGAGGGAGGCAGGAGGGTCAGATAGATAAAGACATACAGACTGAAGCAGTGACCCAGAGGAAAGATGCTCTGCTGCTGGCTTTGAAGCTGGAGGGAAGGGCCATGACTGAGCAGTGCAAGTGGCCTCTAGAAGCTGGAATTAGCAAGGAAATGGATTCTCCTGGGAGCCTCCAGAAGGAGTGCAGCCCTGCAGACACTCTGATTTCAGACTTCCGACCTCCAGAACTAGAAGAAAATAAAATTGTGTGGTTTGAAGCTAACGATTTGTGACAATTTTGAAGCTAATGATTGTGACTATTACAGCAGACATAGGAAACTCAGACACTCGCCTATTTAGGGGCAGGCTTTCTGAAGGGGCCTTCCAGCTGGGGCAGAAAAGGCACAGGGGTTGAGCTGGTGAGGATGTGGACGTGTGTCAGGCCCAGGGAAAAGCACTGCAGAGGTTCAGAAACCGCCACTGGAGGTGGGCGATGAGCTAACAGCATGTCGATGTGAGCTCACGAGCGGGCGGCCCAAGATGAGGGCACGGAAGGTGTAAGGATCACACAGGACCCGCAGGGGTCTGTGGAGTCTAGATTTCATCCTATAGGCAATGAGGACCTGCTGAAGGATTTTAAACAGGGGTGTGATTTACTCATTTTTCTGTTTCAGAAGGAGCTCTCCATTAGGGGTTTGGGATTAAAATATACACAATACTGTATATAAAATAGATACACAACAAGGACCTACTTACAGCACAGGAACTATATTCAGTATCTTGTAACAACCTATAATGGAAAAGAATCTGAATATATATATATATACACATACACATATATATGTATGTATATATATAACAGAATTGCTTTGCTGTACACCTGAAAGTAGCGTTGTAAATCAACTACACTTCAGTAAAACATAAGAATTGGGAAAAAAAAAAAAAGAGCTCTCAAGTGCTCCCAGGATGGTGCATCAGGAAGCTCCAGGATGGTTACCCCGGGGACCCCTCTGCCTGGCGAAGGTCAGGCAGTACCCAGCTTCCCAGAAGATGGCCTTTCCTGCTGCCTACATTTCACCTCAATCACCAGGGAATGTGATGCTGGCCAGTGCCCCCCACGCACTAAATTCTAACTAAGTGCGTGCCCCTCGGCCCATTTGTCACAGGCCATCGCAGAGACACAGAAAGGAAAGGCGAGCTGGGAAGGTTAAGTGCCGTTACTGCAGATGTAATGTACTAATGCTCATCGCTTGGGAGACAGTCAATTTACCTTTCCCCGCGGTGAGTGCCTCTAACAGGACCCGGCCTGGGAAAGTGGCCGAAAACAGCCCTGTTTATTATAGACATAAAGCAGATGGCTTCGGGCAGAATGGAAATGGATTCCACAAACATCTTTCATTACGCAGACCTCTTGACTGGACTCCTCGTCTTAAAGAAAACAAGAGACGCAGTTTATATTTGTGGGGTTGATGAGCCCATTTTTCAGGACCCGGGGACATCGTTTCCATCCGTGCGAGTGTGCCAACTTCTCCGGGGCAATCAACCTTCACACAGACTCTGGGCACTTTTTCTTCTTGACTTTGCTAGATTCACCCGCTGTTGCTACGGGCACGTGGTGCTGCTAAGAACAAAAGCTGAGCCAGCATCCTCTGTCACTTGAGGATCCTCTGCCAGCCACCCCTTGGAGGAAACAAACATGCCAACTAAGTGCTTGTCCTAATTATGAGACTC